GATATCGGTGAACGAAATGGAACCCTATAAATTCTTGGCAATATGTCTACTTCTGTAACACTAAAACTATACCTTGAAAGATGAGCAAGTTTTTGTTGAGTGTCAACTGTAGCGTCGCTGAGCATTCGTTAAAAAAATATCAGAAACGTTAGTAGAAAACATTGCCAGTTTGTCTGATGGCATGTTTTGAAATGTCAATTTTTTTGAAAATGAGCATTACAGAGAAAATTATATCAATGAAGGTTTTTTTGTTGCCTTTACATTTCGCTCCTGGTAATTAATAGTTTATAATCCATACCTCCGATTCCGACCTATGTGACTGGGTTAAGAGTTTTGTCCACTAACAAGGGAAACTAGGGAAGTGTGACTCGCCAATTTTGAAATAAACTAGTGGGATGCATGTCTTATGAGGAATAATTTTAGGGGGAAACCTTCATTTCGGCCCATAGAAGGTCCTGTGAGAGATAAAAAATAATTTAATATATAGAAAAATCGGTATTTTATTACCTCAATGCAGACTATTAGCTATTGTGATTGTCTCATACTCCGATTAATTTTGTGGTACTTTCACGTACTATATAATGCACATTTATTGTTAAAATTGATTTCGGAAATTTTATACTATCTGTATTTTTCAGAAAAACGGGTTAGTTTAATTTTTTAAAAAAATTGACATCAAATTTTTATAATTTTTTTTCAAAACATTTTCCAAATTAATTGGAATATGTAATTGCAAATCAATTAATAATTATTTAACAATTAACAATTATTATTAATTAATTAATTTTCTGATTAATTTATTTATTAGCAAGTTAATTAATTATCCAATTAATTACAAATTAAATGGATTATGAGACAATTACAATAACTGATAGTCTGCATTGAAGTAGTAAAAAACGGATTTTTCTATATATTGAATCATTTTTAATCTCTCACAGGACCTTCTATGGGCCAAAACGAATCTTAATTAATTTATTAATTAGCAAATTAATTAATTATCCAATTAATTACAAATTAAATGGATTATGAGACAATTACAACAACTGATAGTCTGCATTGAAGTAGTAAAAAACGGATTTTTCTATATATGAATTATTTTTTATCTCTCACAGGACCTTCTATGGGCCGAAATGAATGTTGCCCCCTAAAATTATTCCTCATAAGACATGCATCCCACTTGTTTATTTCAAAATTGGTGAGTCACACTTCCCTAGTTTCCCTCGTAAGACGTAAGTTCGCGATTTACAACAACATTGATATTTTTCCAGTTTTTAAGCAATTCTAAACATACTTAACCTTTTGCGTACGGCTGGTATGGCAGAATGGTGGGCTTCATCATACTAAGCGCCGTAAGCAAAGGGTTAAATGTAAAACAAATCAATAAAAATTTAAGTAAAACATTACGAACTTATTAAAATGTCCCCTCCCCCCCAAAATTATCTTTTTCTTAATTATCTTCTGCTTCTTACAAATTCATTCCCTCTCAGGAGATAATTAAAACAGATAGAAAAAGAAACCTTCTTCGTTCTATTGATATTCTGGAACACAAGAGCACGTTCCTTCCTAGCACCCTAGCAACTGAGTAAACACGTAAAGGGTGTTGTTCATCCAAATGAATTAGCATAAAGAGCGGGAAATTCACTGCGATGGGATTAGACCACTTGGCGGCAAAACGTGATAAGATGCAAAATCCCCGGATGTAGAAAAGAGCACATATCGTGCACAAGCTTATAAGTTGAACGGGTTGCAAGGATATTATATTTCATTCCATCAACACAGTTTTTACCGTTAAACACATGTTTACTAAATGAAATGGCGGGAAAGATTAAAAAAGAATGTTTTTTAAGCTCCTTGGCGTTTATCATTCTAGAACACGACGGAAGCTTTTAAAAGTGTTAACGATTCGGTAGCTCCCCCCCCCCTCTTGATATGAAGACCCGGGTTCGGGATTTAAAAAGAGTAAATTCAAAGAGGTTAATGAATTATAGAATCGCGTAGAACGACGCTGTCTTAATAGTGACAGCAAAAGAATATATTTAAGTACTTACTTTCATTTGCAAAATTTATTCCTTTCTTGGCGTGGTCTTTTAAATTTGATAAAACGAAAAGAAAATGTAAATCAATTAAATATAGAAAAATAAAATAAAGGATTTGATATTCCGCACGAATTATATCAGAATGTTCGCAATTTTTTTTGATAGTCGTAAACTCAAAATAGGGTCTGATGTTTAACTTCGGTAATTCTGGTAAAAAAACCCCCGTTATTATGGTAAATAAAACAAAAATATATGCATTTAAACCATTGATTTGGTAATTTTTCCGTTCACATGGTAACGGTTTACCAAAATTTCAGGTTTTCAAAATTATAGTTCTTATTACTACAGATTTAGTAAAAAATAAAATGTAAATTTAACGGTAAAATTCACCTAGTTCATTAAAAAAAATATGAAAGAAAAATTAACTTATTTTATTCAAATTTTAAATGTTGACACCTAAAATTAATTAGTCTTAAAGAGAGTGTCAAGACCACAGTTTTGGATAGAGCATTCCTTAAAATATGAAATTTTGCGATTAATAAAGTATTATAAAATTTAAAAAAAACTTTTTTTTAATGAAATGAAGCCTTTGAAGACGTCTTTTTGGTGTCAAAAATTATTCTAGTCTAATCGATTGGTTTCAAGTAGCTTAAAATTTGAACATAAACTTTTATTAATTTCAATAGAAGATATGCATTCTGACAATTCGAAAATTCTAGCTATCCACAATGCTTGTAGTAGTAGTAAAATAGCAATTTTGTAAGCAAAAGTTTTTTAAGTTTTTCTAATATTTTAAACCAATTTTATCATATGCTACATGATGCTTTCTGCATAACATTTCCCAATTTCGAATATTACCATGAAATTAAATTTCTTCTGCCAAATGCCCATTTTTGTGAATATGTGAAAATAAAGGTCCTGCTTTTGTAGGAAAAAAAAATTTCGCAAATGACTTATAAGTATTTTAGTTTAAGAATAATGAACTGAAGAAATGATAGACTTCTGTTTCCAAAAGAAGAATGTAGTGACGGGTTTGATGTTAAGGTAACATAGTTTGTGAAATCTCCATTTTTAGGATAAAGTATTTTTCAAAGGATTAATTTTAACTTTAAAAAAATTGGTAAGAGTTTGTTGACATACTTGAATTTCTCTCAAAATGAACCCTGACATTTTAATCGAAATTTCGCAGGTTGTTGAATATAAGTTCGTACGAAACAATGAACTATAAAATTAAAAGCGTAATATACATAAAATTTTTACAAAAAAAAAAAGAATAATAAATACTAGCACTAAGCCAAATAGGTTCAAGTAACACAGATTAAGCATTATCTTTCGCTTTAGTGGCAGTTTTTAAAAATGATCAATAATTAAATCCCATTTGTTTCCCCCTAATGGGCTACTCCCAAAACCTAACAAGGATTTTCTGTATGTCCTCGATTTGATTCTTGGTAAAGCCATTAAAAAGCAATTAGTCCTAGAAAGTATAGGTTGCTTGGCAAAAGAGCCGGGGGAGGTTACATTCAACCTACTATCATCCTCCTGTCCGCTCCTTCAGAAACCTACTAATGTTCATTGAATAAATCAGTGATCAACAACTTAGAATGATACGTTTATTATTAAAATGTTAATACATAATTTCTATAAGAATTGGGTTAAAAACTTGCATATCTATTGTCATATAATAATTTGGTAAACCAAAAAATGTTTGTTTGCATATTATTCAACAACGAAAGTTCTATGAATGAATCAGTTTTCAGTGAATGTTCATTGAATAAATCAGTGACTAGCTAAACGGATCAGCGATTAACTTTAAGACTGTGAAGTAAATATAGCCGGAACAATGGTTTTCATGCCATACTTTAAAGTATCACGATGAAATTACCGAATATTACTACATTTACTAAAATTTATCACATACCCTAAAACCATATTTTTTTGCTGATTTTATCAAAATCATTAACATCTTCGTTAAAATTATCAAGTTTTATGCTGTTCCCATAGAATCAGTAACACGGCAAATTTTGCTGTAATTCTGGTAGTTAGGACTGTATATTTATCTCAGTTTAAAGTAACCCCCCACTTTGCGGCATGTTAAGTTGTTGTAATAGAGTCTCTTGACACTTCTATTTTTCTCACCTTCTCGCCTATTTTGATAGTTTCATGAACTCATTGTGGGAGGAAAAAATAACTGATCGACACCTAGAAATTTATGAGGCGCATCTAAAGCCATTTGTTTATACGCTTCACATACTAAACACAGAACGCTTGAAAAAGATAAAAAAATTATTTGAATCACCTCTAAAGACACTCACTTTTAACAACTGGAAAAATAATGTAAAAAATGGCAAAGAACTGCCAATTTAGGAGTATATTATTAGGAGATATTTAATAAATAATCGGAATATTTATAAGAGATAGGTAAAATATAGTGTAATGCCGCGATAACCTGGTTGGTAGGGCGTTTGACCCATGTCCAAGAGCTCGTGAGTTCAATCCCCGCCGGACGTAGACTACTGTATACAAAAAGGTGACAGGTGCATGCTAAATCTGCCGAAGTCAGAAAGTCCTCCGAGTTCCAAACACATCAAATAATAAATCAATACTTCTAGGGGTTCTGAATTGGAGATGGATTGTTTTCTGCTTCAGGTTAAAATTACGATCCGCGATGGATGGATGGTGTGTCAATGTGTCCTCCCTGTAAAGCGGGATGTATGTGTGTGGTAAAAGTCGAGTTCTTGTCCATAGATGGCGTCATTGAAAAACAAGAAGCGTAACCCCTCCTGCCTTAAAATAGGCTTGTCACTATTGACAACAACAAAATATCGAGTAGTATCAACTGCGGAATAAAACAATTTAGTTCTATAATCGTAGGCACTTCGATGGTTGGATTCACAACATCCCTAAATTAATTTCTTCAGTTTTTACAGAATTGTGGACACACAACAGAAATGAAATAAGCTTTACCTGTGGGTGTAGTAGTTACTTCCATTTTGGCGTTTGTGGACTTCGGTATAGCACATTCCGTCAGTGATACAAGTTCCATTGTCACTGGCTTTAGGACAAACGTTGCAATAACATTTTATCTCTGAAAGAAAGAAAGAACACAACATTACAATAGAATCCATTAAATGTTATTAGTTGATATCAAATTATTCCGAAACTCGAAGCGTTTTACGTATTGTCAAAAAGCTGTAGCAATAAGATGATGCTATGGTAAGGTAAAAACTATGCTTTTTAGTGTATTTACGTTGATTACGAGTTAATTAATAACTATATATTGTAAAAATAGTTTATAAATAATCAGTTTATTCTATCTTTGACACAGATATTTGTGCAATTAGAGCATTTGCAAATAAGCTTTGGAGTCACTTGAAAAAATAACGGTGTTCTTAATTTTGTAATAAAATTAAAAATTTCCTTACTTAGAACTATATATCCAGAACGCATAAAAACAATAAAATAATCGGTAAAACAAATAACCTCATTTTAAATGAAATGATTACCTAAAAGATTTTAATTCTCTATTTAATGAAATATAAATTAAAAAATAAAACGAAATAAATAAATAAATGAAAGATAAACTATAATGAAAGGCTTTAAAATGGTTATATTTTTAAAGCCTTATTTAAAAAAAGCCTTATTTACGCTTTTTTTCAAAAAAAAAAAAATCTATTATTTAGTCGTACCGATTTAAATAGTAAGCTACGTTCGTAAAGTAATAGGAAAAAAATATTTATTGTGTGTAATTTATCAAAATAAAACTTAAATAATCTCTACTTTTTTCAGTAAATTTTGAAAAAGTAGAATTTTTTTTATTATCTTATATACTAACCTTAAATAAAACTAGTTTTATTTTAGATAATAAATAAAATTAAATCTATTAGTATTTTATTTCTTTCTGACAAAAAGATATAATAAGGGTTGAAAGTACAAGAAATGAGTTCCATTTTATACTGGAGAAATACTTGTAAGTAACAAAAAACTATTATTATACGGATGTAATATTATGAATAGTTTTGATAATATTTCGAGATCCCAATGTAAGTATTTTTGATTTAAGGTGAAGCAACTGGATGAGGAAAAAAATAAGGAGCAGTATATTTTTTAAAGAAAAATTTAAAAATAAACAACCTAAAAACATATATCCATATGGATATATTTCAAATGCTTGAATATTATCTCCCTTTTTTAATGCAATTCTTAATATTTTTGAAGTGAAAAATTCCTATTTAAGATAAAGAAGGAAAATTTTAAAACTACTCTACTTTAAAACATTCCTGGATCATTCGTAAGATTTTTAAAACATAATTCTTAGCATCTTATTAATATTTTTTTTTTTTTTTTTTTTTTTTTTTTTTTTTTTTTNGCTTTTTTTTTTTTTTTTTTTAAGTTTTAAGATAATAAGGGAAAAATTAAGAGTAATCTACTTTTCTGGACTTTTAAGCATTTGAGACCATTTGTAAGAAGCGTAATTCTTAATAATAATCGCAAATAGAAATTTTTTATTTCTATAAGAAATAAAAAATTCCTATTCGCGACTTAAAAGCAAAAATTGAAAGGAATATAATTAAAATCATAACATAATTCAAACAATTGACAGATTCGTAACTTTTAAAAACATTATTCTTAATAGTTTTGAAAAAAAAAAGTTTCTATTGAAGTTCGAAAAAAGTGATGCCCTTGGTATAAGGTTATCAAATCTAATAAACACTTAAAATTAAAGATTTTTTTTCACACTAAGTACAAAAATTGCTTAATAGTTTTATTACAAACACAATTTCGAAATAGTTAAAAAAATTTATTGACTGTCCTCAACTGTGTAGAGAGAGTCAGGTTAACTTTAGGAGACTTGAGTCATTATGTAGGCGGTTAATTTCATGGCAAAACACTAATGAAGACCAGTTTGCTGGAGTACTTGACTGAAGAGTTGGCTTGTTTTCTGAGTCAGAGTCAAAATTACAAGGTTTATGGAATTAAGAGTCATGCATGAATACTTAACATTAGCAAGCTGTTTAACGCCAGGATAAAAATGAAACAATCTACTAGAAATTTTTAAAAAATATGGAAAATGTATACGCGTCAACCACATCGATTATAGTTACCTTAGGCATTTTAAATAATGCTTTTTACTAATTAATTTCTTTCTAAATTAAATTAGATACTTCGGTAAAAGAAATCGAATAGGACGCCGAAAAGGAGTACAAGGAAGAAAAAACACCTATATGACTCGTTTTTTTAATGTTATTTATTTATTACAGCAATTAATCAACTTCCAAATTCAAACAAAAAGTAGAAATTAAAAGAATAAAAATTATTGATACCCTCACCGATTAGAAAATGACTATTATCTTTCAAAACACGAATACTAATTCTATTTTGACAGGAACAACAAGTTCGAAAGCATCTTATATCGGGGACTTGTTCTAAAAATAACATCGATCCCTTCAAGTCGATTTTTTCCCCACCCAAAATACTTTTCTTCTTATTGTCTTAACGTAAGCTTTGACATTAAGTTAATTATTAGATAATTTATCAGCGACTTGAAAGGATAAAATTGAAAATTCCGATTATTAATTAAAAGATCTTAAATATTCTTGCAGAAGCAAAGTGAAGAAATACAGCGACCTTATCAGATCAGTCAATTCTTTATTCATTAAACATTTTATCGGTTTGATTGTTTCCTCAAAGAGAAAAGAATTTATTTGAATTAAGAGATTACGAACACGATGGTTTACTCAGTTTAAAGTTGATTGACATTTTCAACGAAATTATTCAGTTAATTTATTGTTTAATTGTTTGACAGCAGCCAAGATCAGATCTTAAATTATTTACAGTCGAAAGCATTGTTTTGGATAACAAAACAATGCTTGCATGCAACAATTGAAAAGATATAGTTTAATTTAAAATACTGAACGTTCAAAAGTTTTAGACTTCTGAAGGGATATAAATAATTACATTATAGATTTCCTGCAAAAAAAAAAAAAAAAAAATGATGCTTCTCATAATGAACTTCATATTTACCCTTAGAACAATGTGAATTTTTCTGTGAATATTTTGAACTGTAAACTTAATGCCTTACACTTGTTGCAATATAAACTATTCGTTAAATGCTTTATATAATAATGAACTTGATATTTCATCCTTGATGCAATATGAACTCATAGTATAGGCGAATACTTGGTACAATAAACTTAATACATGTATTGTAAGTGACGTGTTAAATATTTCATATAACGAACTCTATTTTTTACCCTTGAAGCAATGTGAACTTTAAGATGAATATTTAGCATTATGAACTTGATGCCTTACACTTGGCGAAATGTAAACTTTTAGATAAACACTTTGTACTATTAACTCGATATTTAACAGTAGACGCAATGTAAACTTTTAGTTGAATACTTAACACTATTTACTTGATATTTTGTGCTTGCAACAACGTCAATCTTTAGACGAATACTTTGGATTAATATTTTATACTTGATGCAATATAAACTTTAAGAGTTGAATACTGTACAATATTAACTTGTTATTTAACATTTGGTAGAATGGAAATTTTTTGTTAATTGCTTCGCAGTAAAAATTTGTATGTACGAAATAATGCGCAGTTTTTATTTCATACGAGAAGGTAATTAAAATCTATCATTAGCTTCTAGTTTTAATGTTATCAAAGCAGATGACATTCATTTTATAGTGAAAAGTTAGGCGTAGTATCAGTATCTAAGTATCAGTTTTTCGTACTAGAACATGAAATAAGCTTATGGTAAATAATTATGGCACTTTTTTTAAAATCTAAGCCTAATAATTTTACTTCTTCTACAAATTTGTTATAGTTGGAGCGTTTTAAACCCATCAAATAATAGAGTTGTTCATAGTTTAGAAAATATTATCCAAGTTTTATTAAAGCCGAGCGGAATTTTAGTTCGCCATCACGTTTTCAGTGGCAAGGATGGAAATTATAATGAGAACAGTCATATGCAGGCTTCAGTTCTAGACGCCATTAGAAAGCGTTCCACTAGTTTAAGTTAGGGAAGAAACGGAATAGACCCAAAATTAAAATCGTTCCAAAGAGGGGACTTTGTGATTTCGATCTTTATAAAGCAGAGAAATCAAGCACTTCAACTTTCACCACAGTTTCATGTACCCACACTACACATTACGGTAGGCGTTATCAGACGTCAAACACATGATTGATGACATAAAGACAAGTTACGAAGGCTAATATTTCAGTATCTTTGTCTTTTTTTACTGGGTCAGTCTTTTGGAAACGCATACCATGACGGCAAAATATTTCTTGCAAGCGAAATTTAAAGATGGTAATCAGTAGCAGATCTGCAGCTACGTCGTGTATTTTTCTTGCTTGCAAGAAACGACGGAATGACGGATGTTACACTGATTACAAATTTCCATTTCAACTGTTCTGGCGCCATTCATTATGAATCTGCGCATTCCTCCGCTTTTTTCCCCCTTAACATTGTTAGGAATAAATAATGATATCGTAGAATGGGTTACCGACACTTCTAACAATCATTTATGCTATTGTTTTCAGTAATTGAAACTGTAACCGTCGATAAACATTGTGGAATGCTAGTATTGATTATAAAGAACTGATTTGGAAACGCAATGGACCCGAAAGTTAGACTACAGAAGAGGATATTTTATTTTTAATTGGGTTTCATTGAATTTTAATAATAGTTCAAATAAACGACACAGTTTGGAGTAAAAAAAAACTGTTGTTGAGAAAAACTGTATACTATATGTAGGGTTAACATTATTTTCAGAACAACCACTAGAATTTGAGGGGTCCATTAAAAAGCTTTTTTCCTACGGTGTATTTTAGGACCTCAGGTTTTCGCTTACGTTATTGAAGTACAAATGATTTTATTTTTTTAACTTTTGTTTCTGCACTGCAAAATAAAAGGATGGTCAAAACTACCAGAATATGGTAAAACTTACGGCATTTCTGGATCAATAGGAAGACCAAAAAGCTGGGTAATATTGAACAAAGCACTTAGATAATGGTTTCGGCAAAATTAACAATAAAATATGGTTTTATAGTATGTTATAAAATCGGGTAAATGTAAAATT